TTTTTTTTTTTTAATTTAAAAAAATCATGCATTTAAGGGTTAATCATTATTTTAGCGTAGCCTCTTTTCCCCAATAAATAAATCATCGACATTCAGTTTGTCAATTCGTGTAGAAAACCTACAAGTTCAACCAACTTKGTCTTAGGGCCTATACGCGGTGCGACTGTTCATTGGTAAATAACAGCTAATACTGAGGAAATACGGTTAGTTCTCAACTTGACTTGAGAGCAAAAGACATTGGCTTAAATAGGATTTAAAGAAAATATAATAAGAAGTGTAAGGAAAATTTAGACTTAAACATTAAATTGAGGTTTCATATATATCTTCAACAACCAGTGTAACTTCTAGAAATATTACCGAATATAGTTATTTTTTAAGTTTAGTCACTTAGTATTTTTTTTTTAAATTAGCAGGTTAAGTAACGGTGTACGTTATAACCAGTGTATTTGATGTATTGTTTTGTGCCATTTTCGAAATCCAAATTACGTGTCAATTATTCGTTTTCAGTATTAAGTATAGAGAGGAACAGTAATAATCACAATGGTGATATCCGCGCAGAGAAGGGTTAAGCATTGCTTTGTTTATATTAGGGGGACGTATATATAGTGTCGTAGACTTCGTAGACTAATAGATTCAAAGAATCAAATTAACACTATTTTTATATTAATACTCGATGAGTGGAAAAACATTTCGGTTATCAGCCAACACTGCACTCGAAAAAATATAGTGATTGGCTCTAAACATCGTTTGGGTTCGGTGGTTCGAATAATATTTACTTGAGTTATAAATCGTCGAATACCGTGAATATTATTTTCGTTCACAGAGATCCGAGGTTTGGACGAGAATGAAGAGGACGATATCGGTGATCTGTCAGACCTCTATTCGGAATCATACACGGAGACCCACCATGTCTATGGTGCTGGTGGTGGTGGTGGAAGCGGTGGAATTGGCGGAAATGGAGTAGGTGACTACAGGAACCGGACAAAGCACAGACACCACATGGATGCGTATCCACCCACACCCAGCCCAAGTGCATCCACCCGATTTGTTCCACCGTTCTATCGGACTTTTGAGTACCTCTGACACGTGGTTCTCGCCTGGTAAGCGCGTGATGAGCGACTACCAGACGAGCGTGGTGCACGTGGTTCTTCCTAACCAGCGTYCATCGACACTGATACGAATAAGCCGCAAGTACACTTTACAATTGCGTTGGTGTCACCGATCAGGATCAACGAGATCGCGATAATAATAAAATATATAATATTATAATAAATAATAAAACTTTAAAAATTATTATTATTTTTAGACCCACATTTTGCATCTGTCAGATTCGCGTTAAATCTTCCGCCTTACTACCTTGTACCTATTTTATACCGACTTTCCTACTAGATTTCCTACCGATTTTCCATTAACGAAACTTAGACCWCTACCAGCAGAAATGTGGCACTGTGCAAGACTAGACTGTTTAAAAATTTAAGCTCTCAATTTCGAGAAAACAAAACCGTGAAATCTTGCAATATTTTGATTCTAAATAAATTTGTATACGAAGTGTGCTTAAAATATATCAAGACAAAACCTAGATTTACCTAGTTATATAAGATGTATGCTACTGTCGGCTAATTATTTATATCGAAATAATTAAGACATGATTGTGTGTGTGAGTTTATAAATAATTAAAATCAATTTCTCAAACCGGCCCTTAGACGTATTGCACAAAACGCGATTTTCAGAACAAATTATACAACAATATAATAATTAAACGATACACGAGAAAGAATTTATTTATGTCTAAAAATCAATAAAAAATCCATGGAAAATGTTTGAATTTTGAAGATAATTCTTTAAGTCATCCTTAAACTTTTTATTAGATCAAGTTAATCCTACAACCTAAAATTTTATAAAATCCCACTATATTCACCTGACTTGGACGATGATTACAACTTTTTATTATTTCCAAGTTTAAAACAACCCTCAAAGGCTAAGGATTTGAAGAAGTTAATGAGACCGTTCGTGATGTGATGAGAGAGATTAAAGTTGTTATAACTTTAGCGGGAACACAAAGACCTTTTCAAAGGATTTCAGGACCGCGTTAGAAGACCTGTATTGAAGCTAAAAGACAATATTGTTTTGAAGGCGACC